AGGAATCACTCCCCAGCACAGCATAAAAAGATGAAGCTGGCAAGGAGGAGCTGTCAGGCACACGCTCAAATCCAACCTCAGATACCCAAGACATCCCCTGCTAATTGCCAGATTTTCTAAATTAAAACATAAGCTTTAGACAGCAAGTCACAGATCCCAGATTCATTCACTTGATGTTTTTTCATTTCCTTGACATTTGTAGATAACATTAAATAATTCAGACTAGAAACTGCCCAGCCTGCTGGTCAAAGCCTGAAGGCTTGAGAAGGTGACAGCAGCTGAGCTCCAGGCCTCTCCTGTGCTGGTCACCATCTTATTTAACTATTTGTTTGCTCAGTTACAGTTTTTCCCATCTGGGTTATCAGTGCAGAGGAGCAGCTCAGATGCCTCGAGGAGTGGGAGGATCTGGGGGTCAAGTCCCTGGTGGGGTCTGGCAGGGATGGGCTGTCCAACAGCTCCAGGCTGCCCCACACAGCTGCTGGCTGGAAGTTTCCTTTTATCAGCTAATTTGATCTCCGTTTAAAAAAGAAAAACAAAAAAACCCCACCAAAACCAAATCCAACAACAAAAACACCCACAACAAATTCCCACACCAAACAACAACAAAAAGCCAACACTGAAACCATGTTTAAAAAAAAAAGCAGAGTGCAAGAGAGCATTGAGGGCCAATGGAACCACAAAAAGTTGATCTCTTTTATCTTGAAGAGCAGCAGGAAGAACCAGCTGATAGGTCTGGTTGCCCAGGGACAGTAGCAGAGCCCCCCCAACAGCTCTGCCAGGACCATCATCTGCCTGGAGGTGCAGCAGCCTCTGCCCAAGCTGCAGGAGAGGGTGTTTCACAGCTCTAATCCTTCCTGGGCCCCCAAGATGAGGTTTTCACCCAGGGCAAGCGTTGAGCACAGCCCTCCCTGCCCATCAGGGCCAAGTGAGCCCTGGGGAGGCCAGTGAAGGTTTTTCAGGTGCTTCCTCCATCAGACAGGAATTCTGTGCAGTCAGAGCTGAGTTGGGTTCTGTGAAGAGCATGTCCTGGCACTGCCTCTGTTTTCTTCAACAGATGCCCCAATACAAGTAAAAAAGCAAATGCAAAAGCTGTATTTTCATGATGTGTTTTGAGATAATACTGTTTTGATAAATTATAACCACAGTGGCAAAGGCAGAAGATAACTTCCAAATGAAGGTGTGACCCTGGGTTACCAGAGGCATCACCAGAACACCCTTAGGTGTGAGCTGAGCAGCTCCTGAGGCAGCAAAGCCAAGCTCCCTCCTCAGGGTGCAGCAGGGCTCCCACGCCAAGGTCACCAGCTGGAAGAGTGTGCAGATAAGACGTGGTGTGTGTCAACCTGCCAAGACCTGCTGGGTTGGAGCAGCAGGTGGTGCCTCTGCAAAACTCACTTAACCCTTTGCTGGAAGGCCAGTCCTGGACCTCTCCATCCCTGCACTGGTGCCAGCAGGGAGGAAGGTCCCCTCTGCTAGGACACTGTTCCAGGCAAGAGCAGTCACAGCATGGAGACCAGTCATTCTGCCAAACTTTTATTCTGACTGATACAACACACATGGATTTGGGACACAAACAAGCGAGTTATCTGGCAAACAATGATCTCAAAATTGTTTTCCCACATACTGTGGTTCCCACAACATCTCTGACTGAAGCACAACATACTGAAACCAGCATTAGAGATACTTCTGCAGTGGAATTTAAATACATCACATAGAAGGCATCTTTAAAGGACTGCAACAAAAATACACCTTCCCCCTCAAACAAGTAGATGGGAAAGAAAAGCTTTCATTTATGCTTCAGCTCTCTGAGTTCTGTGTTGGAAATGTGTTCCTCCAGCCACGTCCTGCCTCAGCACGGCCGGCAGGCAGTGCTGCCCTCCTGGCTGTAAACAAACCAGCAGCAGAGGTTCTGCCCCACTTTTTGAGAGGTCATGTAGCTTCTTCACATTACTGCACCCAAAGATGGGCACAGCCACCTCTCCCGAAGAGAAGAGTGCGTGTCCCGGCTCACTGGAAAAGATATGGCAGAACAGGAGGGTTTGGAGGGAGGTGAAACCACTGTGGCACCAGAACAAGTAGCAGTTCCTCCAGAACTGAACCAGGTCCCTTCCCACAGACGACCCAGGGCAGTGTCACATCTGAGCTGTTTTCTCCTTGCACGTTGTTGGACTTGTTGTGCACAGGAGAAGCCGGTGCTCTCCTCCTGGGCCCTGGAGGAGCTGATGGAAGGGGGACAGAGCCCCTGTCCCTGGCAGGGCTCTCCCTCCCTGCCTCCCCCCAGCATCCCGGGGAAGCTGGTGCTCTGCAAGTGCTCAGAAGTGCCTCGACACAGAACGATCCAGCCCAGTTGTTAAGGTCATCTCGACATATTTTACAAGCGACTGGCTTTGTTTATTTGTTTTAAGAAGCTGATGTACATAAACTGAACTGTACGAATCCTCTGGCCAGGCTTTTTATATCACAATATATATATATCTCTTTTTGAAGTATGAATCCTGCAAGGCACTTGTTCAAGGAGAATGAGTAAAATTTTTATTTCACTGTGTTCCCCCAAGTGCTGATTAGTGGGTGATCCAAGCGCTGAGTCCTCCAGCCTGAAGGATTCCTGAAAATTCCTGGAAAAGGAATTAATTTCATTAAACTGAAGAAGATGCTGGGGACTGAGAAGGGAAAGGCAGCACCTTACAAAATGTGCCTCTGTGGTTTTAGGCTGGTTCTTGAATTAAAGGCAGACATTATCTTTTAGATTGCCACCCAGATAAAATGAGCTTTATGCAGTGGCTTCTGCTGTCAGGTTAATTAATTTTGTTTGATCTGAAAACAAGCAATTAGACAAAGCGGTAGCAAAAGGAGAAGAGTGAGTAGCCAGTTTCTCTTTTGAGCAGTTACTTTTATAAACAAAGGGAGAGCAGTAAAAATAAAGGTTCTGTGCAAGAAATGGCCAGCAGATGCAGGATCACATTTGCCTTTACTGCCCCTGAATTCGATACTCCATGGCCCATAGAATGTGGTACACAATAGATTGTGCTTTACTGTACCTGCATCTAATGTCACTCAAGAGGCACAGGAGACATCAGAGGCTACCATCTACAGAAGGGTGAAGAAAGTGAGGAAAAAAATGTAGCCCTTGTAAAAACAAACTTCAGATGTGACACAAATGGATCAGAATTCAGTTTTGTGAGAAAACCTGAACGTTATCTGGGGGAAAGATCTGACTGATGCACACACTGCTACCCACCTTTTCCAGTCTGCTTTAGTTCAGAAATTCCCAGAGCTGCTATATCTCTCAAATTAGCCTTTTTGGAGGAAAGAAGAATGTAACACTTTTGGGGTACTATTTTTGGCCACTTTGTAGGACATTTTGGTAAGGAAGAAGCTTGGAGTGCATCCCCGTGGCTTAAAAACAATCTGATGTTCATTTTATCCCTGGACATGTGCATCTCCAAGTAAAACAACTCCTATGAAAACAGCATGTTTGGCTTTGTAAACCTCTGCCATTAATCTACA